TCCCAGGAGGATAATCCCAAAAAATTCCAAGAATTCCTCCCCCCCCCACCCTCCTTCAGATTCAATTCCAGAGGTTGGAGGCGGGAAAAATCCAGGATTGCCAAGATATTTCTGGGATATTCCCGTTGTTCTAAAGCCCCTTACAAGCAGATTAATATGCAAATGAGGCGAATCCTGGTTTTCCAAGAGAATTCCGACCACGGAGCTTCATCCCAGTCCTTTTTTTTTTGTTTGTTTTTTTGGGATTGGTTTGGTTTTTCCCAGAAATTCCTGGGGTGGGAGGAGGGGTTTAAGGATTAAGGAAATTCCAGAGGCTGCGGATCCAAAGGAAAACTCGGGAATCTCAGGGAGCTCGGGAATGTCGAAAAAGCAGGATGGGGAACCGGAGTCTCTCAGCTTTTTCCAGAGGGGGGGGGAAAAAAAGAGGCGGGAAAAATTCCATCAGAACCAGCAGCAGCGGGAAAAAGCAGGAGAAAAGCGTCACCCACCGTACCCCCCCCCCCCCATTCCCAAAAGTAAATTTTCCAGGAGCGAGAAGGGAGCGGGAAAAAAAAAAACAAAACAAAAAAACAAGCAGGAATTGCGGCTGTTCCGGGTCCCTCCGGCACGGGAAGAGGGGAGGCTGCAGGTGGCTGCTGGTTGTTGGTTGGTTGGTTGGCTGGTTGGTTGCAGGTTGGTTGGTTGGCGGGTGGTTGGTTGGTTGGTTGGTTGGCAGGTGGTTGGTTGGTTGGTTGGTTGGTTGGTTGCTGGTCCCACGGGATCTATAAATAGAGGAGCTGCGGGTGAGCCAAGCCGGGAGTGGGGAAATCGGGAGTGGGGAAAGTGGGAGTGGGAAAAGGAGGGAGGGGGGGGGTGTCCAAGCGGGAAGCAGAGCTGGGGGTGGGAAAAGTTGGGGAAGCGGGATCAGCTCAGACTGGGATTGGATTGGGATGATCCCAGAAAAGGAACTGGGATCAGCCCAGACTGGGATTGAATTGGGATCAGCCCAGGTAGAGGACTGGGATGATCCCAGAGAAGGAACTGGGATGATCCCAGAGAAGGAACTGGGATGATCCCAGAGAAGGAACTGGGATGATCCCAGAAAAGAAACTGGGATCATCCCAGAGAGGGAACTGGGATCATCCCAGACTGGGCAGAGGACTGGGATGATCCCAGACTGGGAACTGGGATGATCCCAGACTGGGAACTGGGATGATCCCAGACTGGGCAAAGGACTGGGATCATCCCAGACTGGGAACTGGGATCATCCCAGAAAAGGAACTGGGATGATTCCACACAAGGAACTGGGATGATCCCAGACAAGGAACTGGGATGATCCCAGACTGGGAAGAGGACTGGGATGATCCCAGAAAAGGAACTGGGATCATCCCAGACAGGGATTAGACTGGGTAGGAAACTGGGATGATCCCAGACAAGGAACTGGGATCATCCCAGACTGGGCAGAGGACTGGGATGATCCCAGGCAGGGAAGTGGGATGATCCCAGACTGGAATTATACTGGGTAGGGAACTGGGATGATCCCAGACAAGGAACTGGGATCTTCCCAGCCAGGGAATCGGGATCATCCCAACCAGAAAACCGGGATCATCCCGTGCCAGAAAACCGGGATCATCCCAGCCAGGGAACCGGAATCACCCCCTTGCCAAGGAACCGGAAAGAAGCCATGGAATGAGAGAACCGGGATCACCCATCCCCTGCCAGCCCTTAGGGCAGGAAAACTCCGAGCTCCCCTCATTCCAAACCCCGGGAATGTCCTTCCAGAGCCCGGGAATTTCCCATTCCAGGACTCCCCCGTTCCAAGCACCCCGCGCGGGGCGATGGCGGAAGCGGCCGCGCTCTGACAAGCCGGGCCCTTCCTCCTCCTCCTCCTCTTCCTAGTTCCTCGTTGCCGGCTCGGCCCGTCGGGTTGGAATTCCCATTCCCATTCCCGATCCCATTCCCATCGTACCTGAAATAATACACATCGCTCTTGCCGGCGCTCAGCCCGGATTTGCGGATCACCTCCTCTTTCTTCCAACCCGGCGGCAAAGCCGGGCAGTCCATCCTGCCCGGTTTCTCCATGGTTTGGGCGGGGTTCTCGCGGTGTTCTCCCGGTGTTTATTCCCGGTGTTTATTCCCGGGATCGTCGCCGGGGGGGGCCGGGAGCCCGCGGCGATGGCGGCGGTGCCGGCACCACAGAGAGCGAGACCTCCGGGAGGGCCAGAGCGGGCCGGGGGAACCATAGAGAGGGGGACGGGAAAGGGACGGAGCGGCCCCGGCTGGGAGGACTAAAATGGCGGCCGTGGAGGACCTCACAGGTGGATTTTTGAGTGGGATTTAAAAGTGGGATCTCACAGTGGGATTCCGGAGTGGAGTTTCTTAATGGGACCGCAAAGCGGCACCCACGCGAGGGCCCTGAGTGGGATCGCAGAGTGGAGCCCCGTTAGGAGACCCCAAAACGGGAGCCACGGGACGGGGAGGGCCCTGAGGGGAGGAGCCAAAATGGCGGCCGCCGGAGGACCCCAGAGCGGGATTTTTGAGTGGGATTTAAAAGTGGGATCTAAGAGTGGGATTCCGGAGTGGAGTTTCTTAATGGGACCGCAAAGCAGCACCCACGCGCGGGCCCTGAGGGGGATCGCAGAATGGAGCTCCGTTAGAGGACCCACGGGAC